GCTTTGTACTTTAGTCTATGCAAAAATAGTTCAAACATTGGAAAACAGTTAAAAACTTCACGCACCGGTGCATGGAAGCTGAATTCGAACCCTTGAAGGGCAAATATCTTCATCCCGAGATAATAATTTACCAGTAGAAACGTTCACTAACCCGTAGGTGATACCCGAGAGTGCGGGAACGCTGCATTTGAATAGGCAAGGTTAAGCGTGGGCAGGGGGTCATTACCCCAAAATTTCAGCCTCCTAGACTCCGTGGTTTCCGAGATATTAATTTACCCGTAAAAAACTTTCACGGGGCCGTACGTGTTACCCACGAGTATGAGGAAGCTGTTAAATTTGCGGGGTCACACGTGGGTGGGAAACGTTGCCCTAAATTTTCAGCTTCCTAGCTTTTGTGGTTCCCGAGTTGAAATTTGCCGATAAGTTGCTGCGGATACACGCACATACAAACACACACACAGACAACCCATTTTGTACTGCTGTTTTGTACTGCGTTTTGTACTGCTGTTACACAGCAAAAAACGTACAAAAGTACAACTTGAGCGCCCCTTTCTTCAGCAGAGAGGCATTCCAAATAAAACTGAGGCATGTAATGAAATAGCCCGTGTTTCATCCCTTAGTTGTAAACAAACAGAGGACAAAGCGAACTCAAATTTCACAGCGCAACAACACAAACGTGTTAAACCAGGCATGTACAAACATGACCAAAAGCAAGCGTACATATACAACAGAGATGAAATGAAATAATAAAAATGCGAACCGTATTCTTTGCAGCCCAAATTGACCACTCAACGGATGACTCGAGTTTGCATCGGAATGCATCCGGAAACATCTCGCGCAAACCCCAGAGTCTTTCACCGATTGTTTCTTCCAGCTCGTCATCCGGAATTCGATCCCATTCATCGCCTCCAGCGGTGCCAGTCGTGACCATCTTTTTTGATCTTTCTACAATGAAATAATTATCGGGATCTTCGCTGTGTAAAAATTTCCATCGGTTCCGAAGAAAATACTGTGACCAAAGAAAGACTGGAGGAGGGCGGAAGGGAGGGGGG